GGGGTCAGCACAGTCTGGAGGGGTGGCTCCATATATCCCCCGCCGTGCTGGGGTTGCCTTTGGGGGGCCCTCCCCACCAGCTCTTACCTTGCTCTGGGTGTCGGCATCTTGCACAGTTGCCTTGTGCTTGGCAATTTCATTCACCTTCCCCAGGACGCTCTGGGGAGGGGGGAGCAGATGTGAGACCCCAAATCCAGCAGTGCCCACCCCCAATTGCACGGCCTTGGCCAGTGCCGTCCCGTGGCTCTCCCACGGTCCCGTGACACCCACTGCACAGTTCCCTCCTTCCGTCCCCCCTCACCTGCAGCCGGGCCTCCACTTGGTCCAGCACAGCCACGTCCAGGATGTTGACCTTGGCCTGCAGGACCTGCACGGTCTCCTGGGGACGGAGAGCAGGGTGAGAGGGGACACGGCAGCACCCTGGGACTACCCCCCCCCAAGTGCTATGGGCACGGGGTGGGGGGAAAGGGACCCTGCATGCCCCCGAGCCCCTGCCTGACTCACCATGAGGCTGGTGCCCTTCAGCCCGACCAACAGCGGGTTCTGCGGGGAAGGAAATTGCATCAGTGGGGCAGGATGGTGGGGAGGAGAGTGGCAGGGCAGGAGCCCCTGGGCCCTCACCTGGCTGTCGGGCTCACACCGCACCATCGCCTCCAGCTGTGCCAGCCGCTTCTCCAGCTCTGCCATCTGGGGGGAGATGAGGGGGGTGAGACGGCAGGACACCCCATTTTGGGGTCAGGCACAGTGTGTGTCCCCCCTTCCCCACGCTCACCTTGGCGGTCTGGGCAAACTGGTCCTGCTCCGGCCTCCAGTACAGCTCAAAGGTGACGGCGTCTCCCGTGGGCACCAGGGCTTTGGCGGGGCTCTTCCCCGGCACCGCCTTGCTGCACTTTGCCACCTCCAGCTGCTGCAGCAGGCGCCTGGGCAGGGGGAAAAGGTGGGCACGGGGTCCCAGCACCACTCCGTGGGGATGCTGGCATCCTCCCCCCACTCCCTGAGCCGCGGCCCCAGGGTCCCAGGACACCACTCACTTGGCCAGGGCGCCGTCGGGGTCTGCAAAGTCTATGGCTGCGGTGGGACCCAGCAGCTTCTCCAGGTGGCTGGAGACCAGCTGCTGCTTCAGGCCCTCCACCTGCCTAGCCAAGGCCATGGGCGTCAGCTCCTCCTCCGCCGCTGACTCCTTCACCATGCTCTGGGGGGGGGATGACACGAAAGGTGGCTGTGTCACCCCCCTGGGACAGCCTCCCCACCAGTCCCCAGGGCAGGGGTGATGCTCACCTGGATCTGCTCCACCTCCCTAACCAGCTCCTGCACCTCGTGCTGCAGCCGCTGGTACCGCTGCTGGGGCGTCTCTTTGGCACCGAGACCCTCGCCAAGCTGCAGAGAGAGGAACGGGGGGGTCAGGCGGGGGCTCACGGCCTGCCTGCGGCACCAGGCACCCAGGGCAGGGGCTGGAGGCTGGGACGCTGGTACCTAACTCCCATCGGTGCCCACCCATACCTGCGTGGAAAGGCAAGAAAAGGGATTGACCAGGGAGAACAAGGGAGTGAGGCCGTGGACGGACAGGTCAGAGCAGCCTCATGTTCCCAGGAACCTGGTCCTCATGGGGGACTTCAGAGAGAGGGACAACACAGCAGGACATAAGCAGCCCAGAAGGCTCCTAAGTGCATCGATGACAACGTCCTCCTCCAAGCAACAGAGGAGCCGGCGAGGAGAGAGGCTCTGCTGGAGCTCGTCTTCACCAACAAGGAGGGGCTCGTTGGGGATGTGGGGGTCAAAGGCAGCCTGGGCTGCAGCGACCATGAGACGGTGGGGTTCAGGATGCTGAGGACGGGGAGGAGGGGGCTCACAGCCCTGGGCTTCAGGAGAGCAGACTCTGGCCTCTTCAAAGGTCTGCTTGGAAGAGTCCCCTGGGATCAGGCAATGGAGGGAAGAGGGGCCCAAGAAAGCCAGCTGATGTTCAAGGATCACCTCCTCCACGCTCCGGAGCGCTCCGTCCCAACGAGTGGGCAGTCAGGCAGAAAAGCCAGGAGGCCGCCTGGGTGAACAGGAGCTCCTGGCCAAACCCAGACACGGAAAGGAAGAGGCAGAGGCTGGGGCAGGGACAGGGAACCTGGGAGGGAGAGAGACATCGCCCGAGCAGCCGGGGATGAGGTTAGGAAAGCCAAAGCCCCGCTGGAACTCCACCTGGCCAGGGATGTCCAAGGCAACAAGAAGGGCTTCTGTGAGCACCCAGGTGACAGAAGGACGGCGAGGGGAAATGGGGGCCCGCTGCTGAAGGAGGCGGGGGACCTGGGGACACAGGAGGTGGGAGAGGCTGAGGCACTGAAGGTCGCCTTTGCCTCCGTCTCTACCGACCCCACTGGCCTTCAGGAATCCCAGGTCACAGAGGCCGGGGCAAAGGCTGGAGCAAGGCAGACGTACCCTTGGCGGAAGAGGATCAGGGCAGGGAATACTTAAGGGAACTGGGCATACAGGAGTGCATGGGCACAGGTGGGATGCACACGCGAGGGCTGAGGGATCTGGCTGATGGCGTTGCAAGGCCACTCTCGATAATCTTCGGTGGGTCACGGTGACTGGGAGAAGTGCCAGAGGACTGGAGGAAAGCGAATGCCACCCCCATCTTCAGGCAGGTCAAGAAGGAGGACCCAGGGAACCACAGGCCGGTCAGCCTCACCTTCTTCCCTGGGAAGGCGATGGAGCAGCCGGAAACCGTTTCCAGGCACATGAACGACAAAAAAAATCAAGAGAAATCAGCGTGGCTTCACCAAGGGGACGTCATGCTTGACCAACTCGATAAACTCCTGCAATGAAATGACTGGCCTGGTGGACAAGGAGAGAGCAGTGGGTATTGTCTGCCTGGACTTCAGGAAAGCCTTTGACACCTTATGTCTCCCATAAGATCCTCCAAGAGAAGCTGTTGACGTCTGGGCTGGAGGAGCAGGCAGTGAGGTGGATTGAAACTGGCCGAACAGCGAAGCCCAGAGGGTGGTGATCATCGGCCCAAAGTCTAGTTGGAGGCCAGTAACGACCGGTGTACCCCAGGGGTCAGTGCTGGGTCCGACCCTCTTTAACATCTTCATTAACGATCTGGATGATGGGGCAGGGCGAACCCTCGGCAAGTCTGCAGGTGACACCACGCTGGGAGGAGTGGCTGAGACGCCAGAGGGTCGTGCTGCCGTCCGGAGGGACCTGGACAGGCTGGAGAAATGGGCCAACAGGAACCTCACGGAGTTCAACAAGGGGAAGCGCAAAGTCCTGCTCCTGGGGAGGAACAACCCCCGGCACCAGCATATGCTGGGGGCCACCCAGCTGGAAAAGCTCTGTGGAAAAGGCCCCAGGGGTCCTGGTGGGCACCAAGCTCTACGTGATCCAGCAAAGGCGGCTAATGATCTCCCGGGCAGCATTAGGAGTGTTGCGGTCGAGGGGGGTGATCCTTCCCCTCTCCTCAGCACTGGTGAGGCCACGCCTGGAGCGCCGTGTCCAGCGCTGGGCTCCCCAGTACAAGGGAGACACGGACATACTGGAGAGAGTCCAGCAAAGGGCCGCAAAGATGCTGACGGGGCTGGAACATCTCTCCTGTGAGGGACGGCTGAGGAGCTTGGAATGTTCAGCCTGGAGAAGAGAAGGCCCTGGGGGGATCTTATCAATACCTGAAGGGAGGCTGCCAACAGGACCGAGCCCGGCTCTTCTCAGTGGTGCCCAGTGCCAGGACCAGAGGCCATGGGCACAAACTGAGGCACGGGAGGTTCCCCCTGAACATCAGGAAACACTTTTTTACTGTGAGGGTGACCAAGTACTGGCACAGGTTGCCCAGAGAGACGGTTATGGAATTGGTTAGACGGTCGCATCCAGAGGGCAGTGGTCAACGGCTCAATGTCCAGATGGAGATTGGTGATGAGTGGCGTCCCACAGGGGTCCGTATTGGGACCAGCACTGTTTAACATCTTCATCAATGACATAGACAGTGGGATCGAGCGCACCCTCAGCAAGTTTGCAGATGACACCCAGCTGAGTGGTGCGGTCGACACGCCAGAGGGATGGGATGCCATCCAGAGGGACCTGGACAAGCTCCAGAAGCGGGCCCGTGTGAACCTCATGAGGTTCAACAAGGCCAAGTGCAAGGTCCTGCACCTGGGTCGGGGCAACCCCTGGTATCAATACAGGCTGGGGGATGAAGGGATTGAGAGCAGCCCTGCCGAGAAGGACGTGGGGGTGCTGGTGGATGAAAAGCTGGACATGAGACAGCAATGTGC